ATAGGAGAAAACAAGTCACTCGGCGGAAAATAATTTCGCCGAAGTTGACGAATTAATCGAAAACCCTTACGATGACGGAAATTCAAATGTGTCTGTTTTTTAAAGCAACCATTGGGCACTGGACAGTGATAATTTGCAATGCTTCAAGTGTTTAAGACATTCCAGAGCGTGTCATACCCTCATTTTAGGTAATTTAAACAAATGCGATGCCTTTGGAGAACTTTTCTTTTAAAAGCATCGTAATTATAAAAGCCATAAAGGAAAAAACAATACAAGTGTGACTGGCATGACTGCACAACATCTCTCTGGTGCGTGGGAGTATTCCTGGGCTGTCCTGGTTAATTATTGCAACTGTACTCAAGTTATGCGAAACTATGTTTGACCCAATTATGCAACTCCTAGACATCTTCAACACCTAGAAGTCCTCCAGACTTTTTCTATGAGACTAACCCATCACTGGGTCAAGTCTAGCTGAACATGGGAATGCATGAATAGGTGGAAAAATACAGAAAATTTGTTTCTACAGATGTTATTTCAGCAAAACTGTCACTATTGGAAGGAACAGTCCATAATTCATCATGTTCCTCTCCTAACATTGTTATCACTGTTAGTTGACTAGTGTAGGTCTACTGGTGCAGGTCTAATAATTTCAGCCTTCTAGAGTAGGTTTACTGAATTCTGTAATGTATTATACTACTTTTGGTCTACTAGTGCAGGTCTATTAGTGTTACTCTACTAGTGTTGGTACACTAGGGTTGGTCTACTTGTGTTAGTCAACTAATGATAGTCTATTGGTGTTTGTTTACTAAGGTTGGTTTACTAGTGCTTATCTATTAGTGTTGGTCAACTAGTGTTGGTCTACTAGTGCTGATCTATTAGTGTTGTTGATCTACTAGTTTTGGTATACTAGTGTAGGTCTATTATTATTAGGGCTGGTCTACCAGTACAGGTCCATCAGTTTTGGTATACTAGAGCAGATCTATTAGTGTTAGTCTACTAGTGATGGTCCATTAGCATTGTTCTACTAGGGTTGGTCTACTAGCATTGGTCTACTAGGGTTGGTTGGTCTACTACTGTTGGCATACTATTGCAGGTCTATCAGTGATTTAATGATGGTCTACTAGTGCAGGTCTATCAATGTGGGTCTAATGGTCCAGGTCTATTGGTGTGGGTCTACCAGCGCAGATCTATTAGTGTTGGTCTACTAGTGCAGATCTATTAATGTTTGTCATGTACTAGTGCAGATCTATTAATGTTTGTCATGTACTAGTGCAAATCTACTAGTAAATGCCAACTAGTAGTGGTCTACTAGTGAATGCCAACTAGTACTAGTGCAAATCTACTCATGAATGCCAACTGGTACTGATCTACTCATGAATGCCAGCCAGTACAGATCCACTAGTGAATTTCAATTAGTGCTGATCCACTAGCGAATCTGAATTTAGTACTGATCCACCAGTTCTTGTCTACCATTGTTCGACCAATAGTGTGCACTTGGAGCACTTGGGTTTGTCTACTAGTATTTTATTTGTTTAATGTAGTTGCATGTTATTTGACTCCTACTACGAATTAACTTGCATTTTTACTAAAATAAGTTATTGTCGGCCACAGTCTCAAGGGTTAATCACGCATACACTTAAACATCCTTGAACTCAAAGTCGATCACGCTCGAGCGTTCAGGAGCACTCGGTCACTCAAGATAACAGCACTTGGGATAAATACTCACCAGCATTGTTTAGTCGCTTTCTGGACCGGTTCCTACTGAAAACGTTCTTCACAGCCGAATAACCAACGTAAGCAAACCCGGCGAACACGACAGAAGCGAAGGCAACCTTCCCGGCAGTGCTGTCGGTGCCCGCCATTCTAATCGGATTCACTCCGCAATTAATAATGCCCACACTCGTTCGAGCATCTTCAAAAAGAAGACAANGCTTCAAATTAACAGGGTGATCATACTTTTGATAATGAACTTCATTGGAATAGAGCACTCTGAAAGAAGCACTGAAGTTGTGGGGATCATCCAACGAACCCTTCATGAACGTTGAATACAACAAGAAATGCAAACCGGGACGACGAACCTGCAAACTTCGGGATGCGATAGACCCCGCGGGCGTTTTGCCCCAGGCCCTTCGAATCCCGGGGATCGAGATCCGACTATTCGCGTGCAAGGCCATCAGCCCTTCGCCAAACTGCACTGCCCGCAAATTCATTTCGCGGATCTTTTCTTGCACGGACGTCGGGCGCATGATGACTTGGCCCACAGTCGTCCGACTTTCCACGTTCGCGATAACGACATCCGTCCCGACATCGGTTTGGGAAGCCGTCGAGGACGTGGAAAAACGACGGAAATACATCGGCTTTTCTCCCCTTTCGGCTGTATAAAAATGCGTTCATAAAAAAAATGGTTTGATTTGAACGACGTCGAAGGGATAGGAGAAAACAAGTCACTCGGCGGAAAATAATTTCGCCGAAGTTGACGAATTAATCAAAAACCCTTACGATGACGGAAATTCAAGTGTGTCTGTTTTTTAAAGCAACCATTGGGTACTGGACAGTGATAATTTGCAATGCTTCAAGTGTGTAAGACATTCCAGAGCGTGTCATACCCACATTTTAGGTATTTTTAACAAATGCGATGCCTTTTGGAGGACTTATCTTTTAAAAGCATCGTTATTATAAAAGCCATAAAGGAAAAAACAAAACAAGTGTGACTGGCATGACTGCACAACATCTCTCTGGTGCGTGGGAGTATTCCTGGGCTGTCCTGGTTGATTATTGCAACTGTACTCAAGTGATGCGAAACTATGTTTGACCCAATTATGAAACTCCTAGACATCTTCAACACCTAGAAGTCCTCCAGACTTTTTCTATGAGACTAACCCAATCACTGGGTCAAGCCTAGCTGAACATGGGAATAAATGGTGAATAGATGGAAAAATACAGAAAATTTTTTTCTATAGAAGTTATTTCAGCAAAAGTGTCACTATTGGAAGGAACATTCCATAATTCATCATGCTCCTCTCCTAACCTTACTATCACTGTTAGTTGACTAGTGTAGGTCTACTGGTGCAGGTCTAATAATTTCAGCCTTCTAGTGTAGGTTTACTGAATTCTGTAATGTACACTACTTTTGGTCTACTAGTGCAGGTCTATTAGTGTTAGTCTACTAGTGTTGGTTTACTTGTGTTAGTCAACTAATGATAGTCTATTGGTGTTTGTTTACTAAGGTTGGTTTACTAGTGCTGATCTATTAGTGTTGGTCAACTAGTGTTGGTCTACTAGTGTTGGTATACTAGGGTAGGTCTATTATTATTAGTGCTGGTCTACCAGTACAGGTCTATTAGTGTTGGTATACAAGAGCAGATATATTAGTGTTTGTCTATTAGTGTCGGTCTACTAGTGATGGTCCATTAGCATTGTTCTACTAGGGTTGGTCTATTAGTATTGCCAATACTAATAGACCAACCCTGGTAGACGACTACTGTATTGGTCCAATAGGGTTGGTTAATCTAATACTGTAATGTTGGTATACTATTGCAGGTCTATCAGTGATTTAATGCTGGTCTACTAATGCAGATCCATCAGTGTGGGTCTAATAGTCAAGGTCTATTGGAGTGGGTCTACTAGCGCAGATCTATTAGTGTTGGTCTACTAATGCAGATCTATTCATGTTTGTCATATACTAGTGCAAATCTACTAGTGAATGCCAACTAGTACTGGTCTACTAATGAATACCAACTACTACTGATGTAGTCATGAATGCCAACTGGTACTGATCTACTCATGAATACCAACCAGTACTGATCCACTAGTGAATGTCAATTAGAGCTGATCCACTAGTGAATGTCAATTTACTACTGGTCCACCAGTTCTTGTCTACCATTGTTCAACCAATAGTGTGCACTTAAAGCACTTGGGTTTGTCTACTTGTATTGTATTTGTTTAACTCCTACTATCTTAATTGAACGTAAAAATGATTTTATTCAATAACAGCCGGTGTCAGAGTTCCCAATTAGTGCGTATGTGAATTTGTAGGAACTTGAGTTTCAGCTAGTGCGAGCTCGCAAGTCCTCGTGAGCCAGTCTCAAGATAACAGCACTTGGGATAAATACTCACCAGCATTGTTTAGTCGCTTTCTGGACCGGTTCCTACTGAAAACGTTCTTCACAGCCGAATAACCAACGTAAGCAAACCCGGCGAACACGACAGAAGCGAAGGCAACCTTCCCGGCAGTGCTGTCGGTGCCCGCCATTCTAATCGGATTCACTCCGCAATTAATAATGCCCACACTCGTTCGAGCATCTTCAAAAAGAAGACAAGGCAAGCAAATCAACAGCAAGATTCACAAATGTTTGCCAAATACACAGCACACACAAGCCCACAAACCACATACAAGGCTAAAAAGTACCGTTTTTACGCGAATGTAAGACTCATTTCTTCCAAATTTTGCCTCACGAAGAGTCGGAATGAGTATCATCATTTAGAGTTGGCATAAAATTTCTTTTTAGCTCATTGATGGACGTACCAAAAATATTACATCCATTTCAAGGATTATGATCACGTTTATTCAATAAGCACATAGTTTTTCATTGGTGAAAATAAGTTCAGAAAAGTTATCAAAACTGAATACAGAAATATGACGAGTTGAATCGCAAATACAAGAAGACATCTCGGAAGAACTGTTACTCTCACTTTTTTATTTGTGAGGAACAGATAGACCTCGTGCGGTAGTATTTTTTTGAAACTTCGCGAAGTTTATCTCATTTTAGAAACAAATAAAAGTTGACAATTGATTTTAAATTCATATTTTGTTGGAAAAATGTTTTCAGCAATTGAGAGTCTCCCCATTTTTGAGCATATTCTGAAGCGTACCTCATATTTTCCAGAAAGTTTATTCTTCGATTCGAGAGGTTGAAAAATTGAGGTATGATCTTCAGATGGATGGCGTCTCAAATTCGCGTAAAAATTGGTACAACAGTATAAAAATTCCAACCAAGAACTTCAAGAATCTCGCTTCATTCCACCCCACCCCTTCGTCAAGCCAAGACTTTCATTAGAAGGAACATGCGACACAACACAGATACTCGATCATCACCACGTGGAAGCAGCGTCCTCCAGAGCTTCAACAAACGCTTTTCTTTTTCGCCTTTTTTTTGGTATCGCACCTAATTTTTAATTTCTACAGAATACGAGGGATTTTTCAAAAGCAACTGCGAAAAGTTGCAGGGCAAATCAAGGATATGTTATACAGTATGTCAGATGGGAGAATCTCGAAGGACAAATTGCGCTGAAGGAAAATTCTGCGAAATGGATGCAGTGAAAATCGAGAGAGGAAATTGACAAACCTCAAAGTCGAATTTGAGAAGTAAATTCTTGAAAAAATAAAAAAAGCTTTTGTTTCAATTTCTTCACTCATTGAATAAACCTGATTCTCAATAATAATAAAAATTAGAACAGTTTGTCCTTAAGAGCTGCCACATTCGAAAAGAGTTGGGCTTTCAAATAATTATCCATATTTAATTAAAAAATGAATTGTTATCAGTGGCATGCATTTGAAGTATGTCAGGGAGTGGGAGTGAAACGGTAAACATCACGGAATTCACTGAACTAATTTCCAAAGACGGATCATCGGCAAACTTTTGGAATACCCCTCGCACAATGTCTGACATTTTCCAAATTCGTAAGGGAATAGTAATTCAGTCGCCGATTTCGCGTATGCCCACTTTTTTTCTAAATGAGAATCTCGGGATTGCTGGAATGCTTTAAAGGGCCAAAAACTCAGGATATGAACCGTCTGAATCCACGTCTTCAGGGAATCGTTTTTTTTTTCTTCAGCACCGTTTTATCAAGGCACTGTTGACAAAATAACCGAACGGTGACCTTCTTTGATGCATGAAATTTTTCGTAAGCAACGTTTGAATTCTTTCAATTTTTCAACTACCGAACGTCAGTGGGTACTTCTTTGCAAAACGGACATGACATCGACTTGCCTCCTAAAACGTGAAACATACAAGCTTTTGCCCCTGACAAAATACGCCAAAAAATCCTCATTTCAACAAACAAGATACGGTATTTCGGTAATTCGCACAGCTCGTGATAAATATGTACAGTATTTCAAATGAAAGCAGTCGCGAAGCAGGAAAGAAATAGAAAAAAATTAATATTCTCAATGATGATCTCTGAATATGTATTTTATTCACAGGTATTTTATCTGAATCTTTATAAGTAACTTCTTCAGTGTTGCGAAAACTTGCAGGGAAAAATCAAAGAAAGCAAATAAATAAGGCTGAACATTTTTTATCGCTTTAGTCTCAGAATAAATTACTATAATCGAAAAGTACATCATACGTTAAAAAGCAATTCTACGTTAAAAATGCGTCATTAACAACACTGACCCCTTATTTCCGTATTCTCCCCTCTCTTTAAATCACACTCCATCGATTTTAAGTAGAAAACTTTATTCTGAATTTTCTCAAGTTAATCATCTTTTACTAGACCTGATTCTTATTATTCAGGGCATTATTGATCAGAACTATTCGACCCTTATACAAAACGTTGTTCTGTAAGAAGTTAAGTATTTCCGTTAATGTTCACCAAACGTAATTTTCACCGAAATTTATAATTTGTTTAACCATAAATATATTACCACACATTTTCACCGCAAATAGTTCGGGTTAAAAAAATGAAATACTCATGTAGAAGCTCGCAAAAAATTAAGGGTGATTTGATTTCAGCATTAAAAAACCCTCACTCAGTCGATGACACGTCCAGAATGCCAACGAAATACGCGGAACATCGTTCGTGAAGACTTTCCCCAATAATACGAGACGGTATTTAAAGAACCTCTCAATAACACGAGTCGACTAGCAGTGTGTGCGGCAAACCGCCTCCAGAAGAGAAAGCGATTTCATGAAAAGCAAACAAAAACTTGTTCCACAGAAAAAGACACAAAATTCCGAGAAAGAAAAAACGGGGTTACACATACAAAGCATTCACCCAGGAATATTCAGAGTACAGTACCTCACACTGCGGTAATCGATCGCAACCCACAGAAAGAGGCCACTGTCCAGATGATATTCAACCTCCTTATCGGAAACCACATCGAACACAGCGTAATTTCGATTCTTCAAGATTTTTATCCGTTGAAACTTGAACCCATTTTACAAGACTCCCCACATCACTCACGGATTCCTCACGAACTTTATGCCTTGGAAATGACTCGAATAGACCCTGAGTAGTACAGTAGAAGAAACCTGGCACAGTTTTCGAAATTAAAATAAAAAAAAGAAAATCTCCCGACACATTTTCCCCTTACTCGTTTCAAGAAAGCTTAAAAAAATTCCCCTTCTCTAGGCTTTCTTTGGAACATCCGAGTTTCTTTCAAGCAAACCATAGTGGTAAAGCTCTCGAACATTCACACAAAACAATGCCTTGATGCAGAGATGAATCGTTTGGTTTCGTCTTCGGGAAATGACGGTATGCTTTTCTTTCTCGGAACACAGCTCTGACTCAAGTAGGCAGTCTTTTTCGAAACCATCATTGGAACTAGATGAACTTTCTCTTAAGCTACCATTAATATCAAGCCTTACACTCCCCGAAAAAAAAATCACCAAGTTTGGCAATGGTCTTGAAAATAACCACAATTTGCATCACGAACACTCGAAAATTTGTCACGTGGGAACAAACAACTTTACGGAACAGAAGCACACGAAATGTTGGGCTTTCTGATAACGTATCCAGAACTTGAACGGAAAATTGTCTTCACTCACTAAACTCTGCTTTCCAGATCAACCCATCGTTAAGAATACGCTCTCACACCAAAAATTCCAAAATGACGAACCACGAAAAGAAAGAAAAATTGGCCACAATGCAAAGAATCGAGTCGAACACGCTAAAAAATCTCCCTCCGAGTGACTCTACGATAGGTATAAAATGGATAAATGAAAAACGAGACCAACAACGATTTAGAAAAACGGTCAAGCAATTTTTCAAACCACATCAGCATTAAGCCCGAAAAAACTGTGTCCTTCGGATGACATCATGACAGCGAAATTTTGCAACGTGAATTTTAGATTTAACATCGAACTCCACAACGCACGAGCTCTCAAGCGACGAGAACACAAACAAAAATTACTGTACTGCACTGTACTGTACTTTTAATATGCGAGCTGGAACTTCGAACAAAATTCTCAAAATGTAAAAAGCGTATTTTAAATTTATCCAAAAAACCTGGAAAGACAAGTTGGAACTTGACCGCAATAGTTTCACAGAGAAGGAAAAAATAAAAAAATGAAAATAAAAGAAGAAAACCCTGCTTTCTTCAGTCGCGTGATCAAACACGTTTGCTGGGCTCCCCGGCGCCGACAGCGGTTTTCGATTGGGCACGTGAAGGCAACGCCGGCGCCACAAGAACGAACGGAGTCACCACGTCCCCAGGAGAAATACACACTGATTTCGACTCCAAAACGGTAGCAGTCGACGATGGCACCTCCACTCCCGGAACACCGCCGTTCAACTGCCACGGCTTGCGTTTCTTCGTGCGTCGCTTGCGCTTCCCTGTGAAAATAATTCCTTGTTTCCCGACTGATCGTGATACAAAAAAAGCAGCGCAACAATCGGAAAAACCTACTCTTTTTTTTCTTTTCGAAGGGGCAAAATGATAAACTGAAGCAACAACGATCTCGACAGCAAACGATGACAACTAGAAAACGCGCAGTGGTGTTAATCGCAATCCGACTCAACGTCAAAAACTAATTTGCGAAAACTTTGAACTTTTAATTGGGTAAATTGTGTTGAGGATGTGAAACATGAATGTGGACAGTTTGAAAGAGGGAAACAATTATACTGCAAAAGCATCTCAACACAAATAAGAGTACCGACGATTGGGAAAGAAAAGGGTACACTTCTGGTTTTCGAGGACATATCCCAGGGTTTCTTTCCGAAAATGTTGATACTGTGAAGTACAGTACTGTGTTAAAACCCAGTTCGCGAAATACCAAAACAGAATGTTTCAGAATATGAAAATTGTCGGTAGGTGAACAGAACTTATTGCTTAACCCAGTTTAACCCATTGCACAATGAAAACTTCACTGTCGCGTCAGTAACTTGAGTACTGTGCAATACAGTTCTGTACGTCAATCGAGGACAAAATACCCAGAAAATCGCGTTTCCGAATAATGAAAGGCAAGCGTACTAACCTGTGCCATCCTTTAGTTTCTCCTTTTCGTCACCTGGACCATTATTACCTTGAGGGTTCGGTAGAGGGGTCTTGGGCGGCGAATCGATGTCTGAATCATGTTTCTGCACGTTTTGTTTAGCATGTCTATCCCTGATCTGCGGCGGATTGGCGCGAGCACACATGCGCTTTTCATGCCGCTTTTGTCGACGGAGGCGATCCAAAGCTTTGCGCAACCCACTATCACGGTTGGCCAACATATCCAGATGAGGAAAGCGATCTGAAAGAAATAAAAATTGTCTCCTCAATCAAAAGCAAGCTGCATCGTCCGGGAATCGAACCCGGGCCGCCCGCGTGGCAGGCGAGCATTCTACCACTGAACCAACGATGCTCCGTTGAGACAAACATCTTCTGAGAGCATACTTTATACCGGGCCTTCAATAGGCTACAATTCGTAATAGTGAACGAAGTTTCTTTCCAGTACTCGCTGAACAAATACTGCACGGAGATTGATTTCCGAAAATATGGTTCACAAAAATATTCCAAACATCAGAATAAAATGTCTCAACACACCTACTATCTCAGGAAAAACGTTCACTTTAATTGAGTGAAGCCAGTAAAAACGTTGCGAAAAATAGAGCGAATGCAAGTTTCGCCAACATTTGTCAACTCTCCATGGAATCTAGATCCAAGACTCGAAAGTCGAAACATTTTCTTCACGTCGAATTTTGAAGTTTTTCCTTCTAACTTGAAAACGCAGCTCTTGAAAATGAAATATAGCACCACTTTCACGTATCAATTTATGATTCAAGACCATTTTCGGAAAAGTTTTAGATTGATTTTTGGAGACGATCGGCTGGGCAGATACGTATCAGGAGATAGCAACTAAGAACTCTGATACATTGTAGCACACATGGATAAAGGGGATGATGCGGGCGTGAAACACTCGTGGCGAATTTATTTTTCTTCCAGAATCCATGGTATTCAAAGATAGGAAAACAAATATTACCGAGAGTTTCTAGACAATCCTTTAGTAAGCTCTGATAATCTGAACGAACACTGCTTTCGTTTAAAATGAATGCGTGAACAGGTGAATATTCGGATATCGCGCGGGAATCCAACGCCGCTCGCGTTTTCCAACGCAATAAAAATCAACGAACCTCTTTGCGTCTCCAAAGCACACTTGGCAGCATCCATTTCCGCCTGTTTGATGGAAGGAGCAGAAGCACGGGCCAATTCTTCCCCGCGGAATGAAACAGCAACGGTGTAGATCCTCGTGTTTGTCGGTCCGACGCATCCAACGACTGTGTACACTGGGATATCGGGCTCACTTTCGCCCAGGCTACGCAGAGTCAAACAGCACTGCTGCAGCTTCGACTTGGGATCATTCCAGTCTTGGTTCAAAATGAATTCGTTCAGCCGCGGAAAGAAGCAAACTCGACAAAAGGCCTTGCATATTTCCAATCCCTAGGAATGCACGAAAAGTTAGATTGCAGCGCGACTGGAATAAATCTCAACAAGTAAAACATTATACGAGGGTTGTCTCACTTGGGCGCGACCTTGGCTTTTTCTAAAGTAGGCATGAATATAAAAAATATGATATGGCCCATTAGTGCAAGTGGTAAGGTTCTGGGATTCTTTTTCAGGATTTTTAAAACTTTTCTTCAATTCACTGCACGGTATATGGAAACTTTCCAGCAACAGCCAGAGATCTCAAACACAGGGTGCTAAAAATTTTTCAAACCATCAAAAAAATTGAACTTTACTCGGTATTGTTTTAATCATTACCAAAGCTACGAACTACAACAACAAAGAATTTATTTTTAGCTGGCCTAAAAAATTTGTGTGATCCCGCGTCAAAAGGTGGAGAACTCTTGCCAGAACTGCAAAGTTCTTACTCATCACCATACAGTAAACTAAAAACTTTAACTCTAGAAATAAGTAAGGTCGCGCTTAAGTGGTACTAACCTCGTATCTCATCTGTAACACAGTGATACAGCAGGCAGAGGCTCATACTTTTTTTGTTGAATACTGTATTTTTAAAAAATAACGCGAGGCCGAGTCTTTCCTTTCATTAAAAATTATCATTGGATAAATTTGCGGGCTTCGTCTGAGTGTAAGTTCACTCTTTCCGGTAAACGCATGTTTCCCAGAAAATTGCTTTTGAAAATCCGACGTCCTACACGGGCGGAAATCAGGTGAATCGATTCTCAAATCCTATAATCAATATCGGGCAACATATAGAAAAGAATCGATTCCATTTAAATTTGACATTCCATCAACATTCAAGAACCGATCAGGAAAGACTACAGCTTCTAAATTGCTTCCTCGTCGACCACGTAATTATTTCATTTTCAGCACAAATCCACAAATTTAAAAGCCGTTGTGTACATATTTTTGAGTCGTCTTATTGAAAATACAGTAGTAGAAAAAAAAACAAGTCAAAACACACTCACTTGATCCACATACAAAGATCCCAAGTAAGCCTCCAGCAGATCAGCCTTATCCTTCATCTTCAATGGCGGTTTATCAACTTGCGACTCTCCAACAACCACCTTCTTCCGATGCGGAGCACTCAGCGAAAATCTCGCCATTCCCAATTCATCGCAAACGATGGCTTGCGTTTTATTATTAACCAAGGTCGTCCGCAGCAAAGACAAATGACCTTCGTGATGACTCGGAAAATGAAGATACAAGTGCTCGGTGACGATCAGTTGAAGGACAGTGTCGCCGAGGAATTCGAGACGCTGGTTAGAGCCAAGAGTCAGATTCGTCATGCCAACAGAGTGATCCGTGAATGCTCGCGCCAGGAGACGAATATGATTGAACTCGACTCCGGTGTCGCCTTCGAAGTCTCGCAGTTTTTGCAAGTAAGGGATGCGTGGAATGAGATGACGATCGCCATTGGGTTCTTGCTGCTGCAGAGGGTGTAGCGGTAAACGGACCCACACTGTGAGCAAACTCGGTTCTTCTCTGAAAATGGTCTCCGCTAAGAGCTTGTCGGCAGCCTGAAACAATCACATCATCGCTTGAGTTTAAACAGTAAACAAATTTGCTTTCGTAAAATTACGGTACAAACGGGGAAATCTTGAAACCATTTGATGAACGCTCTTTATTATTTTTCAATGGTAGTCACGATGAAATTTCGATTTTCTTCCAAGTTAGAACACAATCCATCCCATCACGGGAATTTTCATGAATTTGCATGAGCATTATTGGATTGGCATACCTTTGTAAGAACACTGGTTTCCTGGTATTTATTTTATTATTATAGTATTGCGAGGAAATTTTGTTCATGCCAAGCAATTTTGAAACCTCAAAAAAGTCTCAAATTTATATGTACTTAGGCGTGGTTTTCATCCGGATTAGGATTAAAACCGGAAAGGATCAATCTTGCCTGCGGTCAACTCGTATTAGGAAACGTCAGCTTTCAAATACATTACATTAAGAAACTTTATTTTCCAGGTAAGGTTAAATCCCGATTTGCAAAGAAAGGTTTTTTTTTTTACGCGTTACGATCTTATTCCGAGAAGTGTAAAATTAAATCTAAAATTTTTTCTTCAAGGATTCATTGGTTAGAGAAAGAACTGCGCTTTTTACGAAATCAAAAAGAGGAATTACGAGCCTTTCGGTTGAAAAAAAAAAATCTGATTTGACTTCATGTCCCCTGAAACAAAAAGACGACAGAATTCTACAGACTGGAATCTCCGTTGAATATGAAGTATTGTATATCGATGTACAGAACCCGTATCTAACCTCCAATCCTCCGTCCAAATATATCGCCCCGAGCAATGCTTCAAAACAATTCGCCATTGCACGGCGTAGAGGAAGTTCCAGACAAAGATCCGGTCCATGGGAATACAGGAAGTATTTGTGTAGCTCTAAAATCTATGAAGAAAAATTTTCACTTCAGCATCTCAACGACTCTCACTCAAGAAATCGCATTTCATACCCGTGCCAGATGAGTTAAATGGGAATTCTGCACCAATGCAGCGCGGAAAGTTGCCAGTGAACCTTCCTCTTGATCCGGGAACATGAAAAACAAGTGGATTGAAGTTAGAAACTCCACAACGGCATCGCCGAAGAATTCCAGACGCTGATTGTCCATAGTCTCAGAATCAGCTTCTTCTTCGGTTCCAAACTGAGACATGATCTTCATGAGAGTCACGATTCCTGTCAATAAGAAACCAATCCTTCTTTAGTTGATGAACTGACGTTCATAAAAATTTAGTAGATTAAAAAATTAATCTAAAAAACCATGTTTTCAAAAAGCAAAAAATAACCGTAAACGTGGTGCGCATCTATAAAAATTTGAGTTGCAAAATTTGATCCGGACAAACAAACGGACAAGAAAGCAAGTTAATAAAAACGTGTTAAAAATAAAAACCATCGTAACACATTTTTGTAATACCCAGATCTCAACAATTCTCTTCGTAGTGTCATTCGCGCCCTTCCCCAAAAAAGTGGAATAGAACAATTTTGAGTTAGTTTACGCACAAACACAAATTTTAGACAATTTAAAAATAAATTTTGCGTTTTCATTTTTAAATTAAGGGACGTGTGATACCCTTGATTTTAAGTTAAGAAGGTTTAGTACATTTTCTACATTTTCAAATCCTAAACCGTGTCAAGACAAATTCTTCTATACTGAGAACAAAGAAGTACACCAACTTTCGGTACGAGCTCAACATTTCTCGAAACGAAAGTTCGAGAAAAAATATTTTCCCATGCAAATCAAGACTGACCTCTTTTTCGGATGGCTTGAAAATACTGATCCCGATCTCCATACTCGGCTTGACGAATGCCACAGTTTGTTTGGGTGTTCCGAGAGTGATCCGGATTGGTTCCGTAGTTTTCCCTATATGACGGATGGGTCAAGGCAAGTTGTAACAAGTAGCGATTCTTGAAACGATACTGCATGGCCGATTCCAGGGAATCCAGCGACTTGTGGAACCTCAAATGGCACACCAAAATCGGCAGGAACAACATATGCTGCAAGATGAAAAAGGTTGAAACATTTAATAATATGCAGAATAAAACTACAGGACTATTCAGATAAAGAAGGACTGACCGGTACTTCAAATAAAACAATCGAAAACCCCATCTTCTACCTTGCTTTCTGGAACGTAACAAATTTTACCGAAAATAACTTGAAAAATCATGAAATTATCCGGAAAAATTAAAATTAGCCAGGACTGATCAAACCGAACATACCCTAACCGAAATTATAACGTCCGGAGAGTGCGAAGTTTAGGAGACACATGAACAAAGGCGAATAGACCACGGACTTTGGGGACGTCAAACACTAGATTGAGAATAATCAGTTCGTGAATCCTGAAACTTGCATCTATGAACATTTTTCGAGAAAGAGAAAGAGAAAGGAAAGAGAATTTTTCCAGAGAAAGGGTGTCCTTCTGTCCATACACTGTACAATATTTTAAGAGAATTCCCCATTTGCTGGGTTGAATCTGGAAACGAAAAATTGAGGGTTTCTGTCTAATTCCTGTCGAAAACAGGATACTGCAAGCGTGACACGGCCAAAATTATTCACAAATTTACTAACCTGGACCACATCACAGAAAAGTCCTGTCACGAAGAAATCTTTCGTCGACAAACCCACAGTGACCTCCCTTCGCATCGCAGGTTGGGTGCGCAGTTTCCTCAGCTCCCTTTCCATTTCCAGCAGTTTTTCTTTATCTTGGGCAGTTGGCCGCGGTTTATTCACCAGCAGGTATCGAGCTTTCAAGAATTCCCTGTAAGCTTTGTGGTACCTACAGAAGCCCGAGAAGACGCGGAATGCATTTGGATACCAGAACAAACGAAAATTAAAAAAAGAACAACATACTCAGTAGTGAGATGAGCAGGACGGACCCCAAAGTGTACCAGATCAGGATACAGCTTATCGACTTCCCATTGAACATCTTCATCACGACGCCGGCTTGATTTAGATTTTTTTTCTTTTTCGCGACGCTGTCGGATATATTCTTGAGCATAAAGCAATGCGTCATCTCTGTCCAACTGATCCACGCGCAGACTTCTCGGTCTTTTATCTGGTCTGCAAACAACGGCTCCTAAAAATTGAAAACAACACAAACAACCTTCAAGAAATGCTTCTATCATTAAAAAAAAAACCTTCAAAATTTACAGTTTAAATTTAAATTCACACGTCACAAACGACAAGTCATGCGATCACAAGACAATTAGACGGTACTTCGTCCCTTTGTAAGATACAAAAGCAAAATTAAACCAAGGCCCACCTTTCAATGACTCCGCATAATCCGCCCAAGTCGATGTGGGCGCTTTCAATTTCTCCTCTATATCCCAAGGAGAAATCAGCTTCTGCCACGATTTCAACAAGAAATCCAGCACATAATTCATCGACAAAATCTCCAAGCCGCTGCAGAAGGATACAAGAGAACCACTTATGAGTAATAAATTACATTCAGAACAAGAACATTTCAGAAAAATTGGGTGTTCAAGCACAAAATTGTCAGGACATACAACATTCGAATTCAGAATCTATGAAAGATCGGACTGAGCGAAATAGATCTTAGATGTGTTGCAGTTGACTCAGAATGATTCAATAACACCGTCATATCTCACCTTTCCGGAAGCTGACGCACAAATCGAGGCATGAAGTGGAAAAGATCGCAGTTAACATCATCTCTCACAGGTTCCCAGGCTTGCTTCATTCGCTCCTGATATGTAAGCCCAATTTTCAACTCCAAATCGTAAAGCTCGAGCAGATCGAAAAACACGTATTGACCTAATAAAAAAATCAGCAACAATTCGTCAAGCCACTAACCCAACTTGCATTCACGACGTCATTACTCACGAAAGAGATTCAACTCGTGCACCGTGGTGAGCGCATCAAAGACGGGCTGGTTCTCGAAGTCAATCGTGTAATGAATATAGAACCGAAATAATTGGCACGGCGGCAAGGAATGCAATTCGTAATGACTGAACAACGAAAAGCCTTCGAATAGGAATTCGTGTCCATCGTGGACTATCGTCGTAGGGCATTTGACCTAGAGTGAATATACGATGTGATAAAACTTAATCACAAAACAAAACAACAAATCTAATGTCCTTTTTCAAAACGCAGAATGATGAGTAAAAATTCGTTCGCATCGATAAGCATCAGAACGTTCAAGAACGTAAGAATTATTTCAAATTCATCATCACGATAACCTATCCCCTAAATGGCCTAAAATAACTCGACGCAAACGAGATTTTCTAGTACATGGTCAGACAACTAACCTTTTCAAATTTTCGAACAATTTTGTGCTACAGGTACAGTATTCCATGTTTAATTTGGTACGTCTCGTTTCTTCACAGATCATTCCAAAAATAGAACGTGACACGGGATAACGTCTCGCTCTGCATAAACTTATAAAAAAATTCTGAAAAAGAAGTCGAATCGGTACTACAGTAACTGAATATTGAAATTAAAATTTTCGTCGAAAAATGCAATTTAAGAAAATCATTAGAAAAAATCCGTCATTTAATATCTTGATTCCCAGTAATTCAGAGAATTCTGACTCAGAAACTCGTGCACCCGAAGAATTTTTTTCAGGTGAACACAAAAGTTTTTAGCCATGCCTCTTATATTATCTCTCTAATGTAATACACCTACAGAAACATACTCACCAGAAAGTTAGTTGGAGGGGCAAGCGTAACTTTATAGTGGTACAGCTTGTCACCATTATTCGTCCACTTGTTACAAGGAGGAACGAGTTTTTCACCAACGTAGACTCCGTGACGTATTCCGAGCTTTCTCGAGCTTGAGCTGCACTTGCAAATCGGTCCCATATTTCGCTACAAATGAAAAAAATATATATTATCACTAATTAGCCGGTAATGATGTTGAAGGCACAAATATAAACCTTGTGAATTTCGTTGTAATAAAGGTCAGGATGCATGGCATTTTGGCACGCAGCGGGTTTCTCACGCATTCTTCTTTCCTCTTCTTCAAAATACTCGTTAAGGTCGCTGCTCCTCGCGCTACTCACACTTGAATCACTTTCGTCTCCCGAATCTGAAAATCGTCAAGATGTACCAAAAAACTTTCTGATGAAAACATTGTACAGTATTGATTTTTAAATATCATTTTACATGTACAGTAATTGACTCCGAAATATCGAATGTCAGCATAATTTCGTATTGATTTCATGCATGTCCATAAATTTTGAGACTTCGCCCATTTTCGGCTGGTTTGAGCGACTTTTGTGCATTCAATTAACGGAAAAACATCCCGGTGACATTGCTGCAGGTTTTGCTCGAAAGGAAAAATCAATTTTATAATATTGTACATTTTCTGTATCAGTGATATTTAATGTGAACGGCGCCCTAAAGTTTAAAAATGTTCGACAAGACATTTCAGAGATTACTGCAATTGAAGAATATTTCCTCCAGTTCAAATCCCACAATCGTTTGAGGAACATGATGCAACGTTCAAGTGACTAAAACCTGATTTCAAATGTTTTTTTCGACATAATTGAGTGGAGTCCATGTTGAACGCCACTGATGTGTCCCTGAATAATGCGGCGATAGGATTCACAATTCATTTTCCAAGTTAAAACCAAAAATCCCATCAATTTTTTTCTGTTCGTCGGCAATCTTATGGACCATCCACAGTATGTTGAAAAAAATGAAGAGAAACTCACCCTCTTCGTTACCCATGAATTTGTTCAAGCAGTTTCTAACCGCTGAGCACGATTTCGCTGGTTTGCAAGGATCATCATTGAGGTCGTCATCGGATACCTCTGACAATATGCCAGTGTCTTCCGGTGCTTCAGGTTTTGGGAAGATGCTCAACAGCTCACTTTCAAACCTTTCACAAAGAGCTTTCAATTCCTGAGTCGCTCTGAACACTTTCGGATTTCTAGAAAAAGGCAAAATATTGAGTTACAAGGCGAAACAGAAATTTAGAAGCGACAACTTACGACGGATCACGCTCATAATAAAGATCGGCGGGGGAGCAACGGTAGAATCGGATTGTTTCTTCGGCTTCGTTGGCTTTCTTCTTCGGTGGTTTCTCCGGCTTTTTCTCCAAGAATGGTAGTTCTTCGTTTGATGGAAGTGGAGATGGTGGACCTCTGGGTGGTCTAGCGATTTTCCTGCACGAAAAAGCGGATTAATTAATAACAAATCTTCCACAAATCCAATTCTGCAAGTATCATGGTGTACATTTTCAATTCTTTGCCAGTTGTTCATGCCCCACTTTGTCAATTGCTTGCCTATAATTTGAAAAAAAAGTAACTGATGGCTGTTGAGAACTCCTATAATTTCGATATACAGTACAATAAATTCTAGGAAAAATGGTCCTAACGAATTTTAAGACCAGCTAAAAAAATTGAAAATTATTTGTTGCTTCAACTACTGTATTATCTTTTCTAGATTTTAGATGATTAAAACAACGAAGACATTTCGCATTCCAGCCGGCCGGACAAATTTTTAGCACCCTGTGACATGGTAGGAGAACTCCGGCCATAATTGGGAATTTTTCACTAATCATCAAACAATAAATTTAGAAATGTCTTAAAAATCCGAAGAAAAAAACCCAGAACCTTACACCATCATGGGCTGAATCACAATTCTTGTTGCAGAGTCGTACCCACTCTAGAAATAACCGAGGTTACGCATTAGAGGAACAACCCTCGTATAGTCAAACAGACAAATGTGTATGAAAAGTGAGCCGCAAAGGTTTGTTTTTCTTATATATACACAAGGGTTTAAATAAAATTACTCTTTGCAAAAAGCGACAAACCTCGGGGGAGAAACGGATTTTCGCGAGGAATCCGGCGAACGCGAACGGGATCGTTTACGTCCCCGGACAGTCCTCGACGATATGGACGGGCCCCGATCACCCCTTCTGGCCGAATCTCGTCCGGGCGACGGTCGTCTCCGGCTGCTACGATCCTCTCTTCCTCTACTGTATTTATCATACGAGGAATTCCGCTCTTCGCGTTTACGAGAGGCCCGTTCTGGCCTAGGGGACTTATCACGGTCTCGCGTGAGTTTCATGAAGCGAGACAACAACGCAGCTTCTTCGGAGGACATGTTCTTGTCGGTTCCTGGAGGCGGCGGAAACACCGGCGGAGGATAGGATGCAGCTTGTTGGCCAAACGGGTACGGAGGAGCAAAGCCAGGGGTAGAGTACTGCGAAGGCAGGGAATAGCCAGCGGAATGATATGCCTGCAACAAAAAAAAGACACAACGCTTCGTCAATTTTTTGCCTATAATTTAAAAAAAAATTAATGATGATACTGTACTAGATAATTTCTAAAATTCCATAGCAAAATGTAAAAAACTAATACCTCAAACGTTTCTATCACTGTAATGCACTTTCAGAGGAATTTATTTCCCACGTGGACACGAAAAATCAATAACCAAGCTCCGGGAATATTTCTACTTTATAGTACTTCCACTTACTGACCTTGCTGTCTAGAATATGGCAGAGGTGTCACTTAAATTACTGCTTTTACCTGATCAAATTCTATCACGATTCACTCATTATAAATTCTGGCGACTTCATTTTGAAGAAGTACAGTATATGGAGATCAGGGAATGGATATTCAAGTAAGAATGACCTGTTTTAATCATTAAACTAAGTACTGAACACGTGTTACCTCTCTCTTTTTTCCTTTTAGGAGCTGTACGGAGTGTCAACAAGCGAAAGGTAATTTTACGTGAATACTAAGCGCGCGAACATTTAATTTTGGGAGGCCATGAACACAAAAATATAAAACTGTACCAAGGATGGGCGAGACGACGTCACAAAGGGGGAAAATGATAAATATCACTCGGTCAACCATAAGGCACCAGGGAAAATTTGTGACACCCATGAGATTACGTTTTTGGGATAAAAATAATACCTGTGGCGGAAAATTTGTGGCAATCTCAGGAGAAATATTTTCATTTTTCAATTGACTACTGTGTTGCATCTAATTTTTTAAAAGTAAATCTCATTTAGTCCTAGACTGGCGAAGAAGTGTTCTCCCGGGCGACGAACACTTATCGGAATAATTCTACGATTTTCTCGCGTCTGACTTGCGATAATGATGCACGATTTCGAGTTAGCTCGAACCTCTTTATATCGAATTCATTTCAAGTCTCTCATTGAATTCCCCAAGTATCAATGCATTAAAAACTTCCCTGACCCAAAGAATTTCCCTCGAAGCCTCATAACTCGAATTTTATGATGGACCGTTGGCATTTCTTTATTGACACACAAAAGAGAAAAGCAATAAAGATATGACTTGATGCGTTTTGAATGGAAGTAAATGTTAATCGGCCAGTTGAACCCTAGTCTCTAAGTTCAGCATCCCGTCACCTCATTTGAGAAGCAATTTCCGGCCCACAATATCACCAATTACAAGTTCATGTATTTCTCCCTATCAAATTTTGTTTCCCCAACTCGAAACCTCCCCAATTCGAATTCTTTCCGGGCCCCTTGGAATTCTATTGTACCACGTGAATCCATTTCAGACAAAATTGCACGAAGAAAAATTACTCACGGAAAACTGTTCGTAGTGCTGAGTTGCAGGAGGAGGAGGAGGAGGCGGATAATTCCATGAATTCCCTCCGTTCACGTGATTAAATGTGGTGGGTGGCGGTCGATGAATGGGAATCTCCAGAACGCGGAAGCTATCATCACACCGCGGCAAACTAGCCTTCTGCTCAACTGGCCTCCCGGCAACAGGCGGGTAGACCAAGTTGCTTTGCCCGTACATCACAGCTAGAACTTATTCACTCATCCATCACTTCCAAGGGCATTAAAACTCAAAATAAGGACATCCTGAAAACAACATCCCGTTGGAATTAATCATTCACAAAATTAAAGTCTCACTTTGAAAAATAAATAAATACGCAAGAAAAATGCAACCACTACATTTCCATTTACGACACTACCTACACGGGAAACATTTAAAGATACAATCACAGCCAAGGCAAAAGTAGTCTGAAATTGGAATAAGCCTACTTTGCCTCACGTTCGCCTTTCAAGAATGCTTGCGTTGCCATTTAGAACAATCACTATACAACATAAAAACGACAAAAACGAATTTTCCCTCAGTGGTCCGAATATTCGAGGAGGAATAGAAGTCAATATTTAATAAATTCGCTTGGGAAATGATACAAGTAATTTTTTTCATTTTACATTATTGGCAAATGAATACAGTCTCCTTAAAATTCAGCGGAAAAAGTGACTCTTTGGCAATCCACGTTGCTCTACCATCTGATGCAACAATGAGCTTGCAAGTGGGAGTTGAATTCTAGAGTCCAATCGATATTCCACCAGCATTCAATTCGGAAATCTCCGAACGAGCTCGCTTTTATCTTCATCAGTTGGTCACAGACCGGAGGTACCCATCCTCATCGACATGTCATGAAGCATGTCGGGAGATTGCATTGGAGAAGTCGGCTTAAACGAGGTGTTCTCCATTTTCATAGAGTGCTGAGAGGATTCTCCTTGATTATCCTCGTTTGGCTGATTATTCGCGTTGTTGTCCTCATCAGTGATATCCACAATGACGTAGTCCAGATCATTAGAATTATTCCCGTTGGGAAAAACACGTTTAACGTTCCTGTTGTGCACTGTTTTCATATGCGTTTTCACGGGGTAGAACATGGTCGACCTGTAGTCGCAGTCGGGACAGGCGTGAGATTTAATCCCATCGTGAGTCAGCAAATGGCGCTGAAGCTTGTAATTGCTGAAAAATTCCTTGTTACAGAAACCACATGGGAGGATTTTCAGGTTGTCCATCGAAACATTATGTTCCTTGTAGCGATGATTGCGGAGAAGAATCTTGAAATTGAAGATTTTTCCGCACTCCGGACAAGGGTGTTGGATTTTGTCAACTGTTGATGAGAATTTATAAGCAGGTTCAGTACTTGTGGCGAAATCAACGGCTAGCCTAAAAAAAGCCTTATTTTCAGGTATAAATTCAAAAGGAAACAAAAACCACGCCCACTTTTTTTTCCAAAAAAAAATCAAGGATGATGTCCATATGAATTGATGAATAATTCCATCAAGAAAAGTTTCATGAAAAATTGGCAGCTTAAAATCCCACTTCCTGCGTTCCCGACGCAATTGTACCTTTTCATTTACGATATCTTGGGATTTTTATTACTAACTTACAGCAGCATCTGCTTTAATAAGATAAATATTCAATTCATACGAGAATTTACACGTAAGGATGACTCCGGCCACACTTTGAGCAAAATGTATCTAATGAAGACGAACTTACCATCAATAGCATGAACTTTGGCGCGATGAATGACGACCTGAGCACGATTGCTGAACTTCTCCTCGCAGACTCCACAAGCGAACTTCTTTTTATTCTTGTGCACGGCATCAATATGGTCACGCAACCATATATTACCGTAGCCCTTAATGACTTTGTTACAAATAGGACAGGTTGAACCACTATGACTACCACTGTGCAAAATAAGCTTCGTCTTTGTTGAGAACGTTCGACCGCACTCCTCGCAGATATACGGATGGGGCAAACCATGAACTTTACATTTATGATCCTGCAGTTTGTCGCGGGTGGTGAAACTATCTTCACACAAGGGACAAGGGAACTTCTTCGTCTGATAATGCACGACGTCCATGTGGTGGCTCAACACCTTATACCGCTTGCCACAAATATGACATTCGCCCGGTTCCTTATGCACGACTTTGTGGCTATACATTGCCCGACGAGTTTCAAAAGTTTTCCCGCAAATTGTACACAACAACGGAGCTTTATAGCTTCGGCGCGGTTTCGGAGAAGAAGGTGCTTTCTTCTCTTTCGGAGGAGGTGCTTCGGTTTCATCCCATTCTTCGGAGTCCCTCTCAACTTTCGGCTTTCTCGTAACTCTTTTCTTCACAGGCGCACGAGTTACGCGACGTTTGAGCCTTGTCTTCTTAGGAGGTTCAGGTTCAGGCTCGGGTTCTGGTTCTTCTTCTTCTTCGTCGTCGTCCTCTTCATCGGCCTCAACCAGGACACCGGGTGCAGAGTCAAGAACTGGTTCTTCTTCCGGGGCTTCGATTTTCACATTAGCTATCATCATCTCTCGTTTGGCTACCAGCATCACGAAATCGTTCAAGGCGATGTCCAGCTGAGTTTCCAAGTGATCAATCTTGGTAACCAAGTCGACGCAAGACTGACAGAGCATTGATGAAGTTCTCGGAGGCACGAACGTTATTTCTGCAGTTTTTGACTCCAACCACCGCGATATGCACGTTTCAAGCATTGCGCGCGATTCCGGCATTACGAATGACCGGAACTCGCGAACTACTTGATCGTTCGCTTTACATAAGATGCACTCCATGACTACAGGTTCGCACGTGAACAACCGGTCACTGAAATTAAACAATCATGTCTTGAGAAACCAATGAAGATGTCAGCTTTCATCATTCAGGGAACACAGACACACCCAGATTCTTCGTCGAAACTGATCAGCAAGCGAAACTAAATCTACATTACAAGGCAATAAACGGTGCATTCAAACTACGCAATAAGAACACTGCAACTGGAAAAGCGTCTAATGCTTGTCCAAATCGGCTTTCTTGGCCAGGATTTTCTTAATAGCTTTTCGATGACGGTCAATTTCTTCTTCGTGGTGTTCTATTTCGTCCTCCAGACGCTCTTTCATTTTCGAAAACTGCTCCGCTTGCTGCAATGAGATAACATTATTATAATGTCCAAAAAGTATTCTCGGACCAAACACGTCACCAATTTTCGGAAAAACTGTTCTTCTTGCGCAGCCTCCCGTTTACCGAAAGCACCACCAGCTTCCCGTATAGCCCCATCTCTTCCAGACCCAGATTTATCACTTGACATACGACTAGCAGAGATTCTATAGCACAAGCAAATCTTCAGTCCACACTCAATTTTTTGAATAAATTTTATCTCACCGTAAAGCATGCCTACTCGCCAAGCAACGTTTCGAAGCGAAGAGCAACGCGTACGACGAGCGCGCGACAGCCATTGCAAACTCAACGGACAGATGAGTCGACTTTCACACAGCCTGTTGTTGCGGACACTCAGCCTCAAGGACGAACATCAATGCATTTCAAATTTTACACCATTACCTTCAGGAACTATAAACAAATTCTCTTTCGCGCACGAAACTGGAGACTGAAGTCGGTAAGACAGTCATCGTTCGAGAACAGCTTGAAGCCGGAGCCATTTGTCTACTTATCACAAACATGTACTGAACAGTACTTGTACCAGGTGCCTAGTAAGCTCTTTTAAAGGGTGAATGCCAAAGGGAAATTCCTTCATGTCCATGCCATTGAATATTAACATACCTCAGAGTTTGACTACAATACAGTGCGTATTGTAGGTGGTATACATGCAAACTTCTCATTGCAGAAATAAGACGTTGTCTCATTTCGGATAATAATTCAAATAAGTAAAACAATACCTCATTATTAGAATCCTCATTCGAGTTTTATTCAACTTGTACTGTAACTCTAGCTGTACTAATTACATTTTACTGTAACTCTAACTGTACCCATTATACAGTGTTCTGGACATGCAGTACTGATGTGAATTCTGGTCAGAGATGACCATGAAATCATCGACCTGCACGTATTTCTACAAGTACTGTAGTGTACTCGGGTTGACGCATATCATCTATCAATAACAGGTTGAAATTGTCATAAAATGTGTTTGTTATGGAAATTACGTTTCTTAATGCATGACATTATATAGGAGTACCTGCAAGTATTTATGCTGAACCCTATTTAGTGCATCCAACCCACAAATAAATCGGAATTCTTGCAAAATGCAAATACTGTACACAGTGTACACCACTGTAGAAAAAAGTAATGTGGTAAATGCATGATGGAAAAGAGGAATTCTAGATTGTTTACTGTACATATTAAATTATTACTGTACAGTACAGTTGAACCTCTGTAAGTTGAATTTATATAGGGACCAGGAAAAATTCAACTTATGGAGGTTTTGATTTGCAGCGGTTTCCAGCAGAGAAAAAACACTTTTGGTGTGAGGAGAAGTGAAAAAAGTGTGGGAAATCATAAATGAGAATATTCTGGGCCAAAACTAGCTTCTTAATGAGTTTACACCTTCCTGAAATTGGAGGCAGGGGTTCATTTGCTATTTTAGTCTTTCAATTCCTTTCAAGATGCATCAAAATTTTAAAATCATTTTCTCTTTCATATTTCAAGGAAATAATAACCAGAAGGCCTCAGCAAATTTACTTACAGAGGTTTTACAGAAAAAAAATTTTGAGTTGGGTAGGATTCTAATGTATTGAGTCTAAGGGAATTCAGATAGGGACTTGAAGAAAATTTGACTTATGGAAGTTCACTTGTATTTTGTTTTATAGGTTTAGGTGCACATTTCACTCAGGTATAATAGCAAACTGAACAAAATTCAACAGAAAAAATGTGAAAATTTAAGGAATTCTGGTTTATTCTGCATCTAAATTCGAAGTCTGCTGCGCTGTTTTTGAAAAAAAAAGTCATTAACATTGGGATGCACATGTCTTACTTCATGAGGCATACATGGCAGTCAAATAAACACATTAGCTGAGTTCTTTTATTGATATTAACATAGCAGGGCAACCCTTCCATTAATTTACAACACAATGAGGTAAGAAAGAAAGTTGATATTTTCACTCAAATTCTACCATTAGATAGTGGGAAATTCAACTTTCTTTTATAAGTAGTACAGTACTTGATCTATGCTTCATGACAAAATGCATCATATATTTTCTCGAAATGTAGGCTTGCCTGTCCATTATTGCTGATGCTTAAGTATTGCATGTATCCAACCCCTCATGCACCGCAATTTCCACTGAAATAAATTCACGCACTTTTACATAATCATTGTATCTTCTGTTTGGCTGCACACAGAACTCTAACAACAACTATGACACGACGTGCGAAATAAAATTCAATCGATTTGTGACCAAGATTTCCAGTTGGCAACAACAGTAATACTCAATCCACTGAAAATTTCCGAAGATAAATCCCTGAAAGCTATTACAAGAAATTTGGTATTGTTCTTCACGCGGCATGTTTTGATCAGCACACTTCCCCATCACATCAATTGTTGATCTCGGAAAATTTTGTGCATTCCATTAAAGCAGTCTAAATGCGTATGAAGCACAGACAATTGCAGAAAGCTTCAGGTTCCACAATGCATATACAGACATTTTCACAGTCGATGAGCAACGGACGGCATTTTCGTGGTTAATTGCAATGGTTCAAGGCAATTTAGAATCAATTGGCTCCTGCAACCATTCCATTGGATCCCTTTGCACTCGAGACTTCTCCAAGTAATGCCCGGCATAAAGCCATTCAGCAAACTTCGCAGCAACCGGGTCCTTATTCAAAGTAGCAACCGCATTCACGCGAGATCCTTTGCAGAAATAGGCGACAAACGAGAGATCTTGCAGAGATCCTCCAATTATGACATCATCGTAATCCGGACAGTAGCCTGGACACATGAAAAAGTTGAAAATTTCAGCAAAACGCAACATACAGAGCAAAAACAACCCTCATGCAATACACCCTCATGAAAAAAAGACATGCTGCTCAGTTTTTTCAACACAAAAATCAATCCATTTAAAAAAAAAAGAACGCACAAAATTTAAAATTCGGACTGATGCGATTTGAACCCAATTCTGTTGCATTTGTTTTTATTTCTTATTTTCATCTGCCAGTTTTATTTCAGCAACATATGTTTACTCATTATTTTTCCTAAAAAAGTATTTAATTATAGCCGTATTTCCTCGAGTAAATACGCGTATATTTTTTCTCCAACTTGCGAGGAAAAAAGGGTGGCTCGTCATATTTGGTTCGCATTACTGTACATTTAATTATAATAGGAAATCTCGGACCAAGTTTATTCGGAAATTAATTGAATTATACATCAGTCAATTAAATACACTGTCAAATTATAGATAGAATTTCATCAAGATTTCCAACTGGAAAACCCTGGTGTGCGTCTTACTCAAGGGCGTGTGGTACTTGAATATATGGGTACTTCACTGAATGTGTATGCATGACATAAATTAAAATTATTTTTCATTGCGAAGAAATTGATACTTCAGCATTACAAAAACCCCAATTCCTGAGGTAACAGTAATTCGAGGCCCAAACAATTGGAAGTTCCTGCCAGAATTCTGCGTCTGTGTCTACATTTTCATTCAAAATTTGCGATTAGAGAATTAATCCTGCAATTTTAAATTCACTACGAACATGTTTAAAAAAGTTTATGGTACTGTAGGCGTTTTTCACTCAGTATTTCAGGGAGGAAAATCACCAACCTGAGTATCTCAAGCTTTTGCCGAAAATAACGCTCCAAAAAAATGGGACGGTGGCCCGCGGGCCAGCTTCAGGATTGCAAATGCTCGCAGCAGCAGCTTCTCCCAGTTTCATAGCAAGTCCCCAGTGTCCAATAGAAACGTTGTCTTTGAAACCATTGCTGCCTCCAAACTTCAATGGAAAACGAGTCACATCGCCAGCAGCGTAAATTCCTTTAACATTCGTGCGCATCATCTATGGAAGATATGAAGACATAATCGTTTAACAATGCCTAGCAACGCATAGTTTTTTACATTTAAAGCATCGCAAATATTTTTGGTCATGTCTGTCAGAGCATTTTTCAACCTTTCTGCTTCTTGGAGCTATAAATAAATTCCATATTCACTACAGAAGTTTCGTTGAACGATTTTATGCATGCAAAATAATTTTGTTCCAATTTTTAAGAATTATCCATTAATAACAGCTGTAGTTATTTGTTCGACTTCCACTCCGAATATAGCGAAATTCCTCATTTATTGCAGTAAATTTCAGGTCTTTTTCTCAATATCACATTTCATTAATTGTTCTCCCTTACTTTTATTATACTGTACTAGTCCAGAAGTCTCTGGAAACTGCATTGGACTCTGGACAGTAGCCTGGAAATACTTTTTATACAGGTGAAAATTCTATCAGAAACGAGATAAGGCGGAGCAAGCAAAAATAGATACATCATTTCTGTTTCCACCACCTATCGGAATTGAATACTCGTAGTTGAAAGAATACAAATAGACGAATGTAATTTCACTTTTGTCATTCGCATTTGCTCAAACTGTATGTTCTACGAAGATGATTGTACAGGTGGACTCAACAACGAAATTCAAGGGACCAGAGAAAATTCGTTGTAGAGAACTCCTGCAATATAGGGAGATTATCCCAAGAGACAAAAAAATTTTTTATGTAAAAAAATTTGTCGCAGACAAGATCATCGGAGAGGGGGAGAGAGTCCACCTGAAATTCATATACTGTATACAGTACTGTATCATTCTATCAAACTTTTTTTTATCTCCCACGGATTCACGGGGAATCCTGGGGAATTTTGTGTATTACGAATACATTTTGTGCATTACGAATCTTGGTGCCGAACGCCATTCAGAAAAAAAAACCTTTGCTCAACCCTAATCTTCGGAGTTTCACAAGGTCTCCAAATGGGAGCTTTCCTTTCTCGTAAAAAAAAAATTAAAAAACTAGTTTTACGGTGTCACTTCCACCGGGAATTCCCAGCACCATATCTGTTATCTGGCGGCAAGAATTTAAAGGGCCCATTCTCCTTCTGCCTTGTTCAGACAAGGGTCTGAAGTGTTCGGACCAATAAGGTCTGATGTGTCTCCTGATTCAATATCCATTCCTGCAGCGACATGATGGTTCAAGTCTATTTTTTGAACTTAATTCATGATTTGCCTGATGTAATTTTGTTTTACTCGAATGTGATTGATGTCGTTTTTCTCATGCGTTACACCGAACTAAAAAGTAAAAACATACAAAACAGTGTTTCACACGATGAGTTGTGGGGCCTGGTAAAAGCAAAACAATTCCAAAAGTATCCGAATGGAAACGATTTTTTTTTTCATCACAGATCGGTCTCTGTACTAGAAAATAAACTAAGAGACTTTACCTCATCAACTATGACGAATCCTCTATCGTCCAATTTTATGCCGCTGCCAGACACAAAACTAGTCGATGGCTCAACACCTATCCCAACAACACAAACGTCGGCTACAATCGTCTCTCCATCAGCGAGAACAACTCTGCCAAGTTCAGCTTCATCCAAAGACTGTTGATCAGAGCCGGGTCCACTGGATGGGACAAATTCCTTCACGCCCCCATGGCTACCATTGACGAAACGAACCAAGTCACTGCTTTCGTGGAACAATTTTTGAATTCTTTCGCCGATTTTTTGACCAAGAACTCGTTCGTAGGGATAATTGGTCGCTCCAATAATAGTGACGGATTTCGCTTTTTTATTTGAGCAAAAGTATGCAGCCACTTCCATTCCTAAAAATATAATCCCGCATGAATTTTAGGCGTGATGGAATTAGCGAAGGATTACCTTTTCGAGAGGATTATAAATAATGGGATCAGCTTGAATATTGAACACAAATGGAAATGGAAAAAGTTTACACTTTTCTAGACCCAAAGCTTTCAGCATCGTTTCAGCTAATGTACAACATGATGGCAAAAATGCAAGAACAATTTTTACACTTGAAAGTATGCTAATACAATATGAGTTATGATCTCAATATTGCAAGGATTGGTCCCAATATTGAAAAATAACAATGAAAGCATTTAAACAGCAGGAGAGAACTATTGAAAGATTTTCAGGTTGACTAAAAAAGGAGAAGAATTTTCAAGAATTGGAAAAACGGACACAATTTTCCTAGTTACCCTTGTAGGTGATGCTCAAGACATGATGATGTGCTCATCATTACAAACTTACGCCAAAAACCATATTCAGTACTATACATACATATATATATATATATATATATATATATTGTATACAGTAAATATATATATATTTTTAAAGAACCCCCTTTCTATTGTTCAAAAAGTAAAGTACAGCACGTCTCATAAAAAACACTCGAGCAATGAGAAATCTGTAGAATATTATTTTTACGCGAGAAAAAGTGACTTGAAATCTTGAATAAAGAAAAAGTTCTGGTAAAATGCACTCCGCAAAGTGCATGTATTTTAGGAAGTTATGAAAACAAGATTCAGAAATTTGTTCCAAAGAAAGAACAAATGTAAAAAAATACAAGGTTTGATAATCAATATTTTATTTAAACAAAATTTGGCACATTGATTAATGGACTCCTTAGCCCCAAGAATTTAATTCAAGTACTTCAACAAGTTTTGCGCATACAATTGTGAAATTTTTGCCAAGGCAAAGCAAGCCTTACAAAAAATTACAAACATTTTCGAGTATATAATCAAAGCTTGTATTGTAGCCTGGAATGGATGAATTACCATATTTTCAATTTGACACAACTTTTAATCCCCTTAGCAAAATTCCCGATCTAGAGATTTAGTAACATCATGAAAAAAGGGTTTGTGAAAAACTTACCAATAAATGATGAGCCGATCACTACTACATTCTTTCCAGCTCCAGCAGCTGCAATGCCTTGAGCATCTTCAATCGATCTCAAGTAAAAGATGTTCTTCAACTCGCTTCCTGGAATATCCAATTTCCTTGGCCTATACAAACGCAACCCTGTCAACTTTGAAACGCTTCACACCGAATATCATTCTTTTTCACCTCGCTCCAGTTGCTATAACAAGTTTCCCATAATCCAAAGACCAAGTTGATCCCTCCTCTATATTCTGTAGAGTGACGGTGTTATTATCCGGCAACAGCTCCAAGACACGTTGTTTCGTCATCACCTTAATCCCATGGTCCTGCATGGAATTGTAAAATGTATTAACCCCATAAACCTTGAAATACCTCCAATCATACCTCATAGAAATCAGGAGACCGCAGTTTGATTGCATCAAAAGTAGAATCCAAAGCTTTCGACAATTTAGGACGATCGTACGGAGGATTCGCATCTTGCGACACGATTATAATCAGACCTTTGTGCCCTTGGTAACGCAAATTTTCTGCACACGTTGCCCCAGCGGCTCCTCCACCCAGAATTACTACATCATCACTCTTTGGTGAATTAGGTTCATATTTTGCAGCAGTGCGAATCCTCTTGGTGTTCTCCAGCTGCCCTTTTTGGGCAGTGACAGTTACTGTATCGCCGTCTACCGTAACATCGTAACAGGGTAAGGAATCCAAGCCCGGAAAATCCTCAATATCACCTATGGAAGCAAAGCATTGGGCAACTGGTACTTTGGTACAACATACTCGGCATGGCTCAATGAGAAAATCTCATTTGAGGAAAAGTCCCGCGGCTCGAAAATTCGGTAGGACTAAACATCTCGCGGGGTGAAAAAATCCTGCAGGAACGATAATCCCGCTTACTCTGCACCAATACAAAATTGTAAAAGTGCGTCTGGGTTTTCCTTCAAACTGTTTCAAAGGGAATGAAAATTCGGTGGATTAAGAAATTGTGGAAGTGCGTGGGGTTTTTTACAACGGTTTTGGAAGTTTAAAATAACCTTTCTCAAGAGAAAGGCGAGGAAGCCTGAGAAAGATGTGGCCTTCATTTGGAGCCTTTATTCTTGAATTTTTTTGTATATAACCTGCCTATTTTTCCAAAAATTTCAGTTCACCTTTGCCTCTGAAGTGAAAAACTTAATGAGTGTTCAGATTGAAATTTTAAGGAACGGAATTCAACTATCTAACTGTATTAGACTTTTTAAATAATTTAGAAATTGTGTACACTCGTAATACCATTTTTTGTATCGTAGGGGGTTCTTTAATTCTTTTAAAACATGACTTCATGTTCCGGGATTTTCGAACCCCGCAAAATTTGCATGCCTACGGGATTACCGACCGCAAGGAATTTTTGAACCGCGGGATTTTCTCCTGCATCCACTCTGCACTGTAGTGTACGGGTAAAAAAAATACAGGAAAAATACGCATGCACGCCGTCATCGGGATAAGCAAGAACCTCGCATCACACGTATACTTTAGATAATGGCAACTGACAACTGAAACATACCTGTCGTAAGATTGAAGCATGCTCCGTGCCAAGGACACCTGACTCGACCATTGGCATGTATTCCCTTAATCAATGGTGCGCCGTAATGAGTGCACTTTGAACCAAAAGCCCTGACTGTGCTGCCCTCACGAATCATCAAAATGTTCTGATCGCCCATTGGCACTTCTTTCAATCTGGGGATCGTGGAATATTTTGAATATTGTATTGTACTTCGTTTCGGACAAGACTTCATAGATTCACTTACTCTCCATCCGGTAATTTGGTCAGAGGAATCTTGACTTCGAGGGTATCAGAAGATGCAGGTGCCATCGTCAAGCCACGCCGGAAAGCACTCACAAATCGTTTGGGAAAACAAGGCATACAGAAAGGAACGCAAAACCCGCTACTTGTTATACACTTATCTTGAAAAAAAATTAATGCAAAGGAAAATTCAGGTACTGCAGTAGGAAATAAATACAGTACCCAAATTGAGTTCTTGGAATCCGGACAAATGCTCAACTTCACAGGCCTCACGATAAATCACAGATAACTATGCACGCCGTCATCCGTATGGCACGTAGATCGTAATTAATAAAGGTTCAAAAGACGAAGGAAAAGATTTTCGACAGTGATCCACACGAAATTCATGTTTAGCGAATACTCCAAAATTTTGCACAGCTTAAATACTTCGTCCACAACTCAAGTTGTGCCTTATCTCGGCGGGACACTAATCTCAGGTTACGTGCTCCGTCTCACCCACACTTCGCCCACAACTTACTTGAAGCATGGAGTTCACCTATTTTGGTACTGTAAAGCTGTCACTTCTGATCAATTGACGGAGTATATTTCCTCGCGAAAAAGAGTGTGTTGCTTGTAGGAGAAGAACAATTCAATCGAAGTCTGAATTGGTCTGCTCCATGAGCAGTTGACAGATATTCCTCAACATTTGAAATTGTTTCTTGGGCAAGGACAATCCAAAGTACCACAGATACTGTGATACGATTTGAACCTCCCATGTTACTAATATTTTAACATCAGTTATCATCCCTCGTTTCGCTTCCATCATCACGAAGTCATTCGAAGTTACGTTCAGCTCATTTTCCTCGTAATCAATCCTAAGAATTTCGAAGGAAAACCCAAGATTTAGGCGCTTTTGGCCACGATCTAGAAACAAAGGGCGAAAGCCACGTCAAACGTTTACATGAATTCGACGAACAGATGTGTCGAATTCTACTCGGCCAGTCAGTACAAACATTTAACAAGCACAATTAAGTCCCAAATTTCACCCAATAATGTTCAAGGACGATCGACGGATTCTGCTCCGCTCGTGCCTGGACATTCGTAAGGCGCTTCCAACGGGGAACACCTACTTTCCCGCCACGCCGCTAGGGGGCTGTGCACTTCCGCTCCCTTCCTCAAGGCCTTGAATGAGTGACTTTACGCAGGTCGCTCCTTCGAAGTTCGTAGGAGACCATTTGTTAATTTATCACTAAATCTTGCAGCGCATAAGATCCAAATAAGCTCTTTCATACAACAAAAGACTTATATAGGAAATTTTGTTCATGTCAATTCCAAAAGGTGCTGCTACATTTCTGTCAACTACGTAAGATCCTCGTCTAAAAGAAATATAGTTCGACTGATAAATAGAAAATATATTACATTTCAGAATTTTTTATGATTTGTCTTTCTTTCACTTTTCCAACCGCTGTCTGCTCACTGTACATCCATTACAGTATTTCAATTCTGTAGGTACAGTATTTTGAAACTCCAAAAATTATTTGTCTGTCTTATATTTGAAGTGTCAGAACAACTTCCAATTAATCTATATAAGCATAAATAAAAAAGAAGTTTTTGCTCAATTTTGAAGACAGTTCATTTCATTGAAATTTAATACCAGGACATTGTGAAGGATAACGGATGCTTCAATATTGAGATGAGTATAAAATACACGTGTGAAATTTCAACTCTGTATCACTGTGCATGAACAAACGTGATGGATTCCCCAATCCCGCCCCTTTATTTAAACGCATCCTCTGACCCTGACGTATTTCAACATGCCCCTCCAACAGTCAAGAATACATCTGTGATGACAAGCAAAAGTATATCTGACAACATGTTTCAAATAAAGCAAATCATGCCAGATAAAACAGTCTAACCCCAACTCATTCAAAAAATTTTATCTTAGCCACTTTCTAGAAATGTATACAAAGCTGCTCAGCAATTTTAGAAGACACTTGACTCGGCCTTACTCAGAAGATTTGGGATGCCTTAGCATACGCGCATGACTCACCAACAAAATATTACTTTCTTTCAATTGCTCCTGTGCATTCACGCAGGAGTATCCTAGCTATTTAGCAGATTTTCTCTCCGAGTATTGAATTGCCAAAACAGAGTTTCTGACATTGATTTCTTGTTTTCGCGCATTTTGCTCCCAACAGCTTCCCCAAGCTGTCATCCTCCCACATATTTCCGGGCTCCTTTTTCCAGAGCTATCAGGAGCACTGAATGACTGAATGGGGTTTTCTTTTCCCACGGCACTTGAAAAAATATCATCCACAAAACCTCCAAAAGAAAAAAAAAATGAAAAAAATTTCAGCACAATAGAAACTCTTCAATAAATATGACCGCACTTGTTAAAAAAGTTCCTTCATATTCCTTTCACGTCCACGAACCAATCAGCTTCCTCCACGTGAGGGACAAGAAAAACACTGAAGAATCGAATAAGAACAAACTTGCATACAAGGAAAAACACCAGAGATCCAACCAGACATTTTCGCACGCTTTAAATTGACACCTTAAAAGGAAAATGAATCCCGCAACTATAGAGCAAATACCGATTTGAGCAACCCGCATACCAAGGTTCGCCCGCAGAAAAAAAAAATTAACGCACATTTCCATGCCAAAATATCTGAAAGCCCATTTTAAATTCATGTGAATTCAAACTAAAGAGAATTTCCAACGGTTTTTGAAGAAAAACTTTTTTTGGATGATCCAGCATAGGTTAGAGGAGATGGACAGCGTAGCAACTCATTCACAAATCAATCAAGGCTAGCACAACTATGACAAATTCAACATCAAAATTTCAACCAATTGTTCGTTTGCAAACGCATACACAAGACATACGTGAAAAAACCATTTAAGCAAGTTCAACAGTGTTCGGGATCTTCTTCAAAAAAGAAACCACGTTACTTTCTTCATTTTCCAGGCCTAACCATCAAATATCAGTGGGACAGAAAAAAAAACACGGAAGCCTTACAAAAACACCACTGATACAAAACTCACATCCTGAGAAAACCAGAGGAATCGAATGCGAAGTTTGAATGGCATCGTCCCTGAGACAGGATTTCAACACTCGAGAAGTCGAAAAAAAAGCACAAAAAAAACCTCATCTCCCACGTATATCACGCCATAATATTCTAAATGACATCAGGAATGTTTCCCTCACACCGCACACGACCACAACACCAAAATATCTGAAACGTAGTTTAGCACCAATGCAACATGCACACGCCGGAAAATAAAACTGCTAAATAGATTCCGTCTCCGCTTTAAACCCAACCGAGTATTGCACAGTAAATCCAATGACTAAGCTTCCAACGAAGTTCATGATTTCTTCCCTGTTTTTACCTTGTTCGTCGCTCACCGGAAGGAAATCAGATAAGCATTCACGAAAAAATCATGTCAGATTGACTTACGTAATTAGATCATATGCATTAGGAAAAAAGTGTAGCAATCTGAAAAACTTCCCCCCAAGTCAAACGCATCCCTGTTTTTGATTATAGTATTGAAAATGTAGGTGTAGTTCAGTTGCAGTCCTTTCAGTTTCTATTCCGCTTCCACAAAAATATGGCCAATGCAAAAAAATTAGCCTTCACACAATTTTCACTCATTTCTCCGCATAGAGGTCTTACAGAAGCATGTACTCGAAAAATAGTTCGAAGAGCATGAAATCAAAATTTGCCTTTTAAAATACAAATTCAAAACCAGGGTGATCCAGACTTGAAATTGGTATTGAAATTCAAATTTTACGAGTCGGAATTAGGAAATCAAATCTACATTTTTCACTTCACCACTGAAGAAAAATTGTTCAGAAAAATAATCATTACACCTGGTTCCATTTAGGGAAACAATTTCTGCGGCTTCAGACAATAAAATACACGCGGCACGGACAAAAAATATTTCATCTTGCTGGCTGAAATTAACGTTAAAATCGATTATTTCTTCAAAAACACGGTACTTGTACAACATTTACCCCTGACTGCACTTCGTAGAACAAAAACGCAAAACAAACTTGACCCGTCTAAAGTTAAAGAGCTCATTCTAAATGCAACAATTTCAAGTTTCTGAACGAGACGTCTCAAGAATAGAAATAAAATGCTGACAAAAAGGGGGAGGGGGAACTATAGAAGAAAGGCCGTATGAACGGAGATTCGTTTTTTCCAAATGGCAAGAATAAGCAGGTCTTTTAAAAAATCAGAAAAATGACTCCAAAAATTCCCAAGCCTATGAACTTCTGAATGGATCCGCTGAAAACGTCGTGAGTTCTTTGGCACAGTGGGGATTAATATCACAAATACAAAACAGATTAAGCACGTTCGAAGCCTCTCAGTTAAGTGTACCCATTCATCCCGCTGTCACAACACCGGTTTTCCGTTCTCTCAAATCTTCGAAAAAAAACCGCACGCACAATGACTTATACTTGCTCCAAAAAAAAAAGTCAATTGATATCACTTAGCCTCTTCCACAAATGTTGGCGTCGGAGGGGCTTCAGCCACCGGCTGCTCATTTCTTGCTCCTGCTGGGTCTGTAGGCTGAACCGCTGAATACAACGGCGAATTTTTCAATGAGAAATGAAGGTATCTGCGAATATTCAAATTCAAATCCACCTTCAGTAACATGCTCTTCCCTCTTGAATCCGTTTAGTTTTATTACTTGTATACCATAGCCCTAGACCAAAATACAGTTTGACTTCGATAACTCGAACCTCCTCAAGTCAAATACCTCCATTTGTTAAATTTTACTTTCACTTACCTGCCTGAATTCTCTTAAAAACAATGGATTAAAAACCTCCTTAACTTACAGGTTTTCCTCCTAAAACCTCCATCAGTTGAATTTTATAGAGGCCTTCGGCTATTCTTTTATTGAAACAGGAAAGAGAAAATGTACATTGATGTGTTTTGAAAGGAAGCAGAACAGTAACTGTGCAAATAACCCCTTCCCTCCAAGGTCAGCATCCTGTCAATCCATTTAAGAAGAAATGAAAGGCCTATGATATCAGCTATAACAAATTCCGGTTATTTTTTCTTCTTTCTCTCCACTCAAGTGCTAGTTAACTCGACTTTTTGCTGACCAATTGAAGTTCGACAGGTTCAACTGTAAGACATAATTCCATTTTCCAAGCTGAAGTATGGACGCCTTTGTCCGAAATAATCGAAAATCACGGAAAAAAACAATAGAGCATCGAGAAGTTTTCTTCAAGGAATGAAAAATAATGGCTGAACATGACAGATGCAACAGGTTTTTACTTACAAAAATTGGGCATTGCAGCAACCCAAAAAATGTTTTAGAAGGAGAATAAAATTACTCGAGTTCAAATTACACAGCATTAAAGCCTCTTCGTCACCTCTGAATAAAAATACTTTTACTATAAATTTAGGATTTTTATATTTAATACAACGTTGGTTACAAACTGGAAAAGTGTGAAGTTTAACTTCGATTGCCTTTCGAATAATTCAT